AAGTTGGCACTGCCCCTTCACCTTTAATTTTTTTTGCAGTCTCCCTGCTTAGTAGTCTTTCGGTCACTGCTGGGTGATGGAGGCAGCTATCACAAACCAGGAAATCCATCTTGGGGAAAAGCTGCTCTTCGGGAAGTGAATTCTGATTGTTAGTAGTATTTACCTGATTCGGTGGAAATGCACCTTACAGTGCTTGGCACGGAGAATCATAGTGAACTTCAGGTGGTTTATTTGCCAGTCTCTCACCTTACTCTTTGGAACAGAATTCAGACCTGGAATATTATCTTTCCAGGGCAGGCCAGCCACGCTTGGGTCTCTGCCTCAATTCGTTGCCCCTTCCCCTGTCCCCTAAGCTTCCTTCCACTTTTATTCTTTGCTCAGGCCCAGAGCCCCTAAGTGGGACATGTTCTTGCTATACATACACACCCTTTCTAGAAGGTTGAGCTAAAACAGAAAGGGGGGCTATGGTTTTAAATAACTTGTCTGCTCAGATACTGAAAGAGAACCCAAAGTATTTTTTCTTTATTTGCTGCTTTTGATTGAGGGGGGTGCATGTGTGTGTTTGGGGGGTGGTGGTGGGGGGAGGTCAATGGATGGGCATCATTTAGATTATTTGAACACCATTTGGCTCAGGCTCCCAGGTTAAGCCCAGAAACCCTACTATGCTCTCTCAGCCAAGAGTGTGGGTATAGCTGACAGGAAGAGAAGTATTTTCTGGAAATTAAGATTGGGTGCCCAGTCCTCGGTGTTGTCAGCCTGACCAGATTTCATTCTGAGACCACCTTACTGATTTCTTGTTTTCTTTCCTGGGTACATTCCAGTTGCAAGAGATGTAAGGGTGGGGCTGGGAGGTGGGGTGAGTTTGGCCTATTTTCTAAATTGAGGAAAAATCCAGAGAGAAGACAGCAACCTTTACTGTGAGCATTTAGGTCTTCTGGCTTCCCATCTCGTGCAGTGAGGCCTCTGCTCTGTGGAAATGAGAGCTGAACTTCTTCAGTGTCTTCACTGCGCTCTCAGGGGTGTACCAGCTCTGAGAAAATTGAACAATTTTGTGTTTTGAACTTGATCATAGAGAAATAATTCTTTTAACAGTTATAATTCACCTCAACTCATAATTGAATAACATTTCAATAAAAGAAATCTTTCTTATCTTAAGTGTTTGTTAAACAGTATTTCTTTTTCCACCCCCCGTGCAGGTGGGTACTTTACCTCCAAGCTTTACTTCCTGTGGATGTATAGAGATGATGAAGTTAAGCCACTGTCTTGGAGAAATTTAAAATAATTATCTTACCTGCATAGCTTAAAAACTCTTATCTATGATTTCCACCACAATTTTGTGAAGTAAGGTTTATTAAGACCCTTAGATCATAAGGAAACAGAGGCTTAGAGAGGGTAAGTGACTCAGGGATATGCAGTGATTTGGCTGGAGAGCTTGGGACCTCACAATGTGCCCTGGTTTCAGGCTTTTGCATGAGTCCAGCCTTCTCAGTAATAGCCCCTTGCCTCTAACTCCTTTGAAGTTCCCAAATTCTTATTCTCTTTTCTGTGGAGCAGTGTTTGAAATAGTTAACACTGAAAGCACCAGATAGTGGTTTTGTTGAGATAAACATCAAGGTGCCATGTTTAGCCAAAGACAAATATTCATGACACTCCCGAAAGTTCAACTCTTACTCAGAAACGAAGACTGCCTCCACCCACGGTGGCTAAGCCAGGCCCCAGCTTCCTGTCTCTCCTCCCCCACACTGCCAGATCCTGGTATACACATCCTCATTTACTAAGCACCTGCCCCAAGTCAGGCATTACATGATTCTTACTTCTAATCCTCACAGCAGTCCTGTGAGGTGGGTGGATTTGCACATTTTATAGATGTAGAAACTGAGGCTCTGAGGGCTCATGCCATGTGCCTAAGATCACACAGAGATGAATAATGAATCTGGGAGCCAAATATAGAGTTGTCTGACTCCAAAGCTGGGTTCACATGAAATGTGGCGCCATTCTTCCAAGCTGGACCTTGTTTGAGGGTATTCCTTACCCCAATATTGGTTCTCATTTTGTTGGTACGGGGAGGTGGGGAGGTAGGGGGAGCGGTAGAGGGCCGTACCAGCTTTCCTTGGCCTGTGGACCTTGAGTCAAATCTGAATTAAGATCCTACCTCTGCCTCTTTACAGTAGGGTGATTGTGGGCAACTTCGATAACCTCTCTGAGTCTCAGTTCTCTCCCTTGTAAAATAGGTTCAAGAGTTACCTGCCTTATGGGGTTCTTTTGAAGATTACATAGGTACTTGACATAGTACATAAGAAGTAGTGGCTATGATTTGTTTGTTGGGCATTTGCTTTCAAGGAGTGGAGAAGTGGGTACTGTGAACAGCAGCATGCCTTCCCTCCTACTGCTGAAGGTGCACAGCCCCTTACTGGCTTGTCAGTTCTTTGCCCTGCTCTGAAGCTTTTTATCTGCTCTTCACTGTGTACCTGAAAAATGCTAGAGTTTTCCATTTGCTACTCACCATAGCACACAGTGAAGCCTGAGTCTCCCCTTCAGCTTCAGCTTTGCACACCTGCCTGGGTTGATTTGAGATTCTCAGTGTGCCCTGGTACCCTGCCATCACCCACCTTCATGCCATTTCCTTTCCATCTTCCAGGTCTTTCCCATCCACGAAGGCTTCTTTGATCTCAGGCTGGATGTGGGCCCCTCTTCCTGCGCTAAGATTCTGAGAACCTTCTTTGCAACAAGAAAACGTTGATGAAGCTGAGCCATAGGCACTGACCTTGTTCCTGGGAACATTGAGGTAACTAGATGGTTCAGGTACTTACTGTCTAGTGAGGAGAAATAAAGTGAATAATGCATTAGGTATCTGGGTCCTTATCTGATTTCTTATGGTATTTAAGACTTAGCATCTTGAGGGAGGGGGTAGTGACAATTACCTCTGGGCCCTCTGTTCTGAGCTCATAGTTACCAGCATCTTTGTTGAATTGATTGATCTGAATAGATATAGTCAAAAGGAAAGCTCACAGCTCTGCCGTTCCCAAGTCACCTACTGGCGAAGGGTTGGAGGGACAGGTCTCTCCAGGGGCAGGTCTCTCCCTCCTGTGGCCCTCCTTCTTCCCCTTCTAAGTCATGTTCTGTGATTGGGTCAGCATGCAAGACTTGGCACTTTTTGGATGACTTGTGTTGGGCTGTAGGGAGGGAAGCACACTGGCTTTAGAGAAAGACATTCCTGGACAGGATAATTTCATAGGACTTCCCCCAGCCTCAGTGTCCTCTTTGATAAAATGTCGAAACAGTAGACTCAACATTTATGAGAGAGTTCTTTTGGGATCTTTGAGAATTCTCAGCATCCTCCTCATCATTGTGACCAAGATCTCAATTATTGACAATAACCCTAAGGTGAGGTATTTGTTCTCTTGACAGGTGAGGAACTAACTCATGCACATGCTACCAGAGCACATCATTTCCCCATATATGCACTCATGCATAATTGAACAATTTAAATGATTTTTGCCCCTTAGTGATTTCATGAATACAGGGATATAGGCATTTATAAATCTATTAAAAGAAATTCATTATTGAGTATAAACTTGCCTTGGTATGGACTTGCTTTCTTTGGGAGTTGTAGTTCACACCCAGTTATTTCCATCACTTCCTGACACATGGAAGACACAGAACCCTTGCACACTGGGTCACAGCTTGAGGGTGAGCTCTTTCATGCATTAAGGGACTGGCTCCTGCCAGCTTTCTAGTGCATATATGTCATATTTACACCTGAGCTAAATCAGGCTGTTTTATGTCTAGGACCTTTGGAGTTGTCAAATGGTCTCAAATAGTCAAAATCCCAAATGTTGCCTCTGTAAATGCCAGAGATCAACTGCAATAGCAGTAGTCATCTAGCGATGCTGCAGGATTCAGTGGGATAGTACATCAAGTGCCTAGCGTATTAAGTGTGCCCTGGTCTTGGAACTTAGTACCATTGGTTTCCGTATTAACTAAAACCATTCACTTCTGCAGTTAGGTGGCCATGGTTGTGGCTGAGAGTCACAAGCTGAACAAGATGATTGAATACAGGGATTAAGAGTATGGTCTTTGGATTCATACAGTTCTGAATTCAAGTCTTGGTGCTGCCTCTTAACTAGCAAAAACCCTTTAACCTATTTAAGATTCAGCTTCCTAATCTGCAAAATGGAAATGATAACCATGCCAATCTCTGAGGATCGTGGTTAAGATTGTACTAATTATTATATAAACAGGTTTGACACATAGGAAGCACCCAGAAAGCAGTCATGGTGACTTCCCTTTCTTCTCTCTCTGTATAGGGCTCCATGCCCAGTAGGTGCTTCGTGTTCATTGATGATTTTAGTTCAATTCTAAAATTATTTTATTATTTACAAATTAACCACTTCCCATCCTCAACACACATACCACAAGTTCTGGCAACTGGCACCAGTCTGATTTTGAAAGCCACCTGTATACCTTGTTCTTGGCAGTGCTGAAAAGGAAACAGAGAAGGGATGTTGATGAACTCTATCCCCACAGAGCCCTGTCTGAGTGGAAAATAATATTCTCACAAAACCTGGAGGAGCATGCAAGAGAGCATTCGTTCAGGCCAGGAGTATGGTGGAAGTCCACACAGATAGAGGAACTCTACACCGGAGAATCTGGAAGCCTCCATCTTGGATTCCTGAAGTGAAAGGAGGAAGTGGTGAGTAGGGAGACTTGGGGGTGAGATTAACTAATGAGTGCTGAGAACTGTGGATCTGGCCCTTAAAGAAAAATACCCCAAACTTTTAACAGTCGATATGCACCATTATGCAAAAAAATAGGTGCAAATATAAATTGGTCTTTGTGTATGTGTCGTGGGGAGGAAAATGAATGTGAAGAATCCTGGAAAACCAGCCCTTGCCTTCTAGGATGGAATGACCTTGGGCCAAGAGTGGAAGTTGGGTGTAAGCCCTCTCCTGGGACTGCTCAGAGTGTAGCGCACTCTTTCTCCCAAAAGATTAATCATCAGCCACATTGCTGCTTGTGTCCTCTGGTGACTAAAGTCAAGATCATAGGCAGGAGTAAAGAGAGGTGAAAGGTGCACCTCGATGCAAGGGCTATTAGCTCTCTCTCTGGTAGTACTGACTCGTTGCTGCTTGTGTCCTCTAGTGACTAAAGTCAAGATCACAGGCAGGAGTAAAGAGGGTGAAAGGTGCACCTCGATGTAAGGGCTATTAGCTCTCTCTCTGGTAGTACTGACTCTCCATGGCCTCATCACACACCTGAATTATTTACATCTCCCCTTTGGGCAGGAGCCCAGAACTGATGAAATTTGGCTTGAAAGACCTGGATTGAATTTGAGGTCCAGCCAGTTTCTTAGTAACTCTGGGCTATCATGAGGCAGGACGCTCCTTGGGTTGTAGAGGAGTCTGTGTTAAATAGGGTCTTAAAATGCTTGAGTCCATGTATTGACTCATCAACCCATGTCTACCCTAGGCTGTACTGGTATTGTCCCCTCCTCTTTTAGGACAATCCTTGCCCCACTCCCATTCTGCCTAAGGCTACCTCCTGTGAACTTTTACATTCTTCAAGGCTTTATCAATGTTTATTGGTCCAGACCAATTAGATCAGAATCTACTTAGGATAATATTGGGCATCTATATTTTTATAATGCTTCCTATGTGATGTTAATGCCCAGATGATATGGGAAAGTAGTGTTTTAAGTGGCTCCTTTTACCTACCCTACTAGAAGTGGGGTCCATCTCTGAGGACAGACTTAATCAAATTCTTTCCTCTCTACAGTCTCTCCCCTTTTCTCTTTGTATGGTGGCCCATTTGGTCGTGAGCTGGTCCTAGGAAAGAGAACAATTTGCTAAGGTAAGAGAGGTAAACAGTTGTCATCTTGAAGAGGAAGCTCATTTTAGTGATTCTGGCATTTAGGAAATGTAAAGAAAACCAGCCCTGACTTCCTCCTGCCCAGACAGGTAAAATCATTATGGAAGGGAAGGAAAAACAGCCCCTGGCATGATTTCCAGCCCAGGAGTTCCTAAAGCAAATTATATTCAAGATAGCATTAGCAGACATCCTTGTTCTCATGAAAGATACGGTTAAACTGAGGTTTGAAGAGGAAGATGTAGGTCATTAGACCTTTGTTATCAGAATTAAAGAGAAAATCGTTAATCCTTGGTCTTTCCATAGAACTCTCTCCCTCCTGTGTTGTTGCCATTTGGTCCTCCTTTGCTCTTCAACACGCAAGAACTCTGGGCAGCCTAAATACCCTCCCTACCCGGCTATAACAGCTCTGCTGTTCTGTCCGGGGGTGGGACATCTTTCTGATGTAACTGCTGCTGTGCACTCAACTGCTTGCTGTGTGCCGAGATAATGGGAGGGAGGCTCGTTTGTATCTGTTTGATCTAGCAGTCAGTAAAATTCTGATTTTACATTGCCATTCTGATTTTTAAGCACTTGAGAACTGATTCTTCCAGATAAGCTTAAAATGCCTCAATTCTGCCTAGTTAGGGGCAGTTTTATTTTAAGTACCCTTTGGTGTTTAGCCCACCAGGAGAACCTGTTTTTTAGAAAGTGAACTGAGATCAGAAAGTTATGATTGTATTGGGGTAAGTTTCAGGCCATACAAACCAGAATTCCTTGTCCTGAGTCTCCAGAGATCCACCAGACACTTTTAGTTTTTCAAAAAAGCCGTATAAGAGAAGCACATTTATCCCAACAAACCTGCATAGGCTGAGGAAATCATCAGGTTTCTTTGTATCATGGTGAACTCTTATCAACTGATGGTGATAACAATGACAATCTCATGCTGGTCAAAACCTCTTATTGGCAGCAAGATCTTTGTTCATTTGATAGCAAATAAGAACAAATTCTTAACTTGGCTGACAACATCTTTCAAAACCTGGGGATCATAGCAGGGGTAAACAAATACCCCTGTAATTGGAGAGGTAATTGGTGTGGAAGAATTTAGAAACCATTGGCTTTGACTAAATTAGGGGAAACATCTGTTTTTCCACTGTGTAGTGAAATGTTGGGATGAGGAGAGAACTGTGTTGATGATGAAAAATCTATAGCTGAGAATTCTGCTGATATTCTTTGGCCAGTGGAAAGAAATATTTAGGAAGTCTCTACGACGTACCTCTATTAGTTAGGCTAATGCTAGCTTCCATAACAAATAGACCCACTTTTAATTAATCAACTTAGCCCAGAAGTGACACATGTTATTTTTGCTCATATTTTGTTGCTGATAACTAGTCATAAGTTTCCACCCAGGTGCAGGGTGTGTGTGTGTGTCGGAAAATGTAACCCCTGGCAAGGCTGCCACTTTCATCAACAACTTTATACAGCAGAAAGAGCACATTTTTGGAGGGGCAGCCAGCCATCCTTGAAGAAACAGGAAGAGGATTCATTACAGCATTGAGTGGCAGCTCAGGTGGCACAGCTTAAGAATCCATGACCTTAGAGCAAGGGGAGCCCATTATGGTGGAGGTTTCTGGAATCCAGGACACAGGGACTATTTCTTAGCGGTATTATAGTTAGCTGAAATACCCTGTCGGGGCTACAGGGTGTCAAGGACTTTAGGGACAGAAAGTATAGGTCCTAAGGTACAGATGAGAATGAGGTTTGCACATTAAGACTTAGTTAAGAAGATGAGGATCAGGGCAGAGTAAAGAGGGGTTGCTGGGAGGTCCAAGATGGTGATCAGCAACTATAGTTGACCTAGTCAAGCAGCAGGCTCTCAGGAGCTCTTCGAAGGGCCCTGAGTAGAGGGACATATGTTAGATAGCATGAGCAGCTTGCAAGTTAGAATAATCTAGCCCACTCCCTAGATTTACCATTTTATAATTACATCTTGAGCAAGTGGCTTAAACCATTGGGGTCTTAGTTTTGTTGTTTACAAAAAAGGATTGTTAATACCCTACCCCATAGATAAGGTGATGGTACGGATTCAGTTTGGTAACATATATAAAACACTAGCACCCAGTAGGAGCTCAGTAAATGGACTCATGGGCCTTTCTCACCTGGATTGTTGCAATAGCTTCTTGAAAGTTCTTTTTCTTCTTCTTCTTCCTCCTCCTCCCCTCTTCCTCTTCATCCTTCTTCTCTTCTTTCTTTCTTTCTTTCTTTCTTTCTTTCTTTCTTTCTTTCTTTCTTTCTTTCTTTCTTTCTTTCTTTCTTTCTTTCTTTCTTTCTTTTTCTTTTTCTT